AAAGGGATCTAGGAGTAATTACTTCAGATTACTTAAAAGTAGGCAGACAATGTAATAGAGCAGCAGGAAATGCTAGCAGAATGCTTGGTTGTATAGGGAGAGGTATTAGCAGTAGAAAGAGGGAAGTGTTCATGTCATTGTATAGAACACTGGTAAGACCTCTCTTGGAGTTACATAGTTACATAGCTGAAAAGAGACTTGCGTCCATCAAGTTCAGCCTTCCTCACATATGTTTTTGCTGTTGATCCAAAAGAAGGCAAAAAACCTAGTCTGTAGCGCTTCCAATTTTGCAACAAAATAGGAAAAAATTCCTTCCTGACCCCAAAATAGCAGTCAGATGTCTCCTTGGAGTTCAGAGAAGGGCTACTAAACAGGTTAATGGATTCCAGGATAAAACTTCCTGCTAGTGAGTGAGCTTGTGTGTGTGTTTGCTAGTGAGTGAGATTATGTGTGTGGGTGTGCCTGCTAGTGAGTGGACTTGTGTGTGTATGTGTGCCTGCTAGTGAGTGAACTTGTGTGTGTGTGTGTGTGTGTCTGCTAGTGAGTGAGCTTGTGTGTGTGTGCCTGCTAGTGAGTGAGCTTGTGTGTGTGTGGCTCATATTGGGTGAGCTTGTATGTGTGTGTCAGTGAGCTTGTCTGTTGGAAGCATGTGTGTGTGTCAGTGAGCTTTTTGTAGGGATCATTTGTGTGTCAGTGAGCTTGTCTGTGATGAGCATGTGTGTGTCAGTGAGCATGTGTGTGTCTGTGAGCTTGTTTGTGGTGAGAATGTTTGTGTCAGTGAGCATGTGTGTGTCATTAAGCTTTTCAGTAGTGAACATGTGTGTCAATGAGCTTTTCTTTAGTGAGCATGGTTGTGTCAGTGAGTTTTTCTGTAGGGAGCATGCGTGTGTCAACACTATGTGTGTGCATTTGTGAGTTTGTGTTTTTATGTCAAAAAGCTTATGTGTGTCAGTGAGATTGTTTGTCAATGAGGCTGTGTATCAATGAGCTTGTGTGTGACGATACATGGCGCAATGACTTATGGGGCTGGCATAGATTTTTTTTCCAGGGCTGCTTTGTATTCATAGTCCGGTCCTGGGGGGATATGATAGAAACATTTAAATACATAAAGGGAATGAACACAGTTAAGGAGGAGACTACATTTAAAGGAAGAAAACCTAGCACAACAAGAGGACATAGGCTTAAATTAGAGGGAAAAAGGTTTAAAAATAACTTAACAGAGAAAGTAGTGGATGCATGGAATAGCCTTCCAGCTGAGTGGTAGAGGTTAACACAGTGAGTGGGTTTAAGCATGCGTGGGATAGACATAAGGCTATCCTAACTATAAGATAAGGCCAGGGACGAATTAAAGTATTTAGAAAATTGGGCAGACTAGATGGGCCAAGCGGTTCTTATCTGCCGTCACATTCTAAGTGTCTATGTTTCTCTGTGATTTAAGGAGAAATTGATTGATTTTGATTGAAATTGATTGAACTTTTTTCAGCACATTTGAAAATCAATTAATGGTAGATTTTCCTTTTCCTTTTGGATTAACAATTGAAACAGGGATGTGTGTAATATCGAGCTTGACATTCTTTTTCAATCTATAAGTACTATGTAGATAGTTAACTTTTTTAAATTGTCACTAGATGGCGCTACTTAGCTATCTAGGCCAGAAAGTTGTGTTAAGCGCAAGTCAGCATTTTACAATTATGTTTCATATGTTAGTGAATTAGTCCCATATAGGAGTCTTTGTTAACTGGTTTCAAACTGCAACCCTCAAGGCCAACTAACAAGTTTTATTATACATGGATTCTAATGTGCCAGGCAAGATGGATATGCTGTTAATTAACACACCTACATTCTGTGAATAAACTCATTTATTTTGCCTGACACCATTTCTAATGGAAATGTGTTAAAGGGACACTATGATCACAAAACAACATTAGCTTAAGGAAGCAGTTTTTCTGTATAGAGCATGCCTCTGAAGTTTCATTGCTCAATTCTCTGCCCTTAGGAGTTAAATCTTTACTTTAAACTGTTAGCGGGTATCCCCTCCCCCCTTGACTCCTCTCCTGCAATTGTCAAAAATAACCTACTAAGTTCTCAGTGATTACTTTTCTAGCAACCTATTTCATTACCCTTACTTATACCCTTTGTGTCACTATACCCCACTTCCTCTAGAATGTAAATTCATTGAGCAGGGCCCTCAATCCCTCTGTTCCTGTGCGTCCATTTGTCTGGTTACAATTATGTGTCTGTTAGTCCACCCATTGTACAGCGCTATGGAATTTGCTGGCATTATATAAATAAAATAATAATAATAATAATAATAATTTGTTTCTGTTTATGCAGCCCTAGCTACACCTCCCCTGGCTTGGTAAAGCCAGGATGCTACTGCAGGTTCAAGCAAGCTATTAACAGAGCAAGAGATAATAAATTCTAAATTAAACAGAATTTGCACTAAAGGAAGTGTAAACATTAGATGACCCTTTAGATGAATTATTAGGATGGCTGGGCAAGTCGCATGCAGGTTCTGACTGTGGCTGCATAAATAAAGTGATCTAACTCCTAAGTAGCAGAGCATTGAGCAGTGAAACTGCAAGGGCATGATCTATACACCAAAGCTGCTTCATTAAGCTAACGTTGTTTTGATGACTATGGTCCCTTTAATATTTTGAAATGTTTGAACTACAATTGTGCACAAATCCCTCAAATCCCCAATTGTACAAAGGTACATTCACTAAACAGCTGTTTGTGGAGAGTCACTGCTTTTTTTGCAGTTTCAGTGAAAATGGTGGGGTTGGGGGAGCTGCCCAGTTCAAAACAGTTAGATTTATTTTTTTAAATCTTCTATTTGAGCAAAACCATTTCATATGTGTACTGTTTATCAATAAAAATTATAAAATAAGTAGTTACACTTAACATTTATTTCAAAATTGGTAAATCTATTTTAGCAATTTCACTTGTGGGTGCTATTTACCAAAAAGTATAATAAAAATAAATGCATAACATTTATTTTGAAATTTAGAACCTTAACTTGAAAATTTATGAGAAACAGTAGTTTTGTGTGTAGAAAGATAGTTGTGCAGAAATATGAAAAAAACATTTTTTAGAAGTGAGTAATATTAAATTTAAATGTTTATACAATAACTAGTGATGGCTTGACCTTTTTAGATGGGAAATGTTGCCAAGTTATCCACGTTGATGTACTTAATGTAAGCGTCACTGAAAAAGGGTGCTGCTGATTTTTCTGTATCTCTTGAAAGTGACCTTATCAATACAAAAGTAGGTGGGTGTGACAGTAGTCACCATCACTTGGAGTTTCAAGCGGACACTTTATGTAGGACCCTGGATTACGCCCATGTCTAAGTCACCCTGTACCCATTATAGGTATAGGGTGTGTAAATGTATTTGTGTGTTGTTAATAGTTTTGTGTGCCCTCCTGTCCTGCTACAGCTTGCTACCAACTAGGTAAATTTGGCTACGTAGTCTGTGTAGCACCATCTGCTGGTAGCAACAGCTATATCCACTACCTGAATAACAAGGCTTGTTAATTTGCATATTCAAGTAGATTTGCATATTGGTGCTTCTGCAAGCAGGAAAGATATTTAGTGTTAATTATTGTCTTCCCCACCCCTTTATAAATATTTCATTATGTTATTCTAAGTTCCTTTCTGATATGATTTGGTTATTTGTATTTTGTTGAAGTTGTCACAGTAATCTAAATGTAGTGAGCATATGGGCTAGTCCCGAGTAAAAAATAAAGCTGAGCATTTTGTTCCTTTTGGAACTGTGTTTCCTCTGTGGAATTTTAGGTATTCCAGTAACAGTCTTCTGGAGATATCACATTGTAGGCAGTTGTGCAATCCTACCTTGATGAATGCCGGCAGAGGGGGCAATAACTGCCTGGAAGGAATAGGTAGAGGGGGCATTACTTGCCTGGAAGGAAAGATCTCAAATGAGAATCCAATCAAGCTTCAGCGACTGGGGCTGAAGCATTCCTGGGTCCTGGAAAGCGGCTAGGAAGCGGACTGGGTGGATGTACTGGGTCCACGGGAGCTCTGTAACAGTGTGAATGAGAAAGGTGTTGTCTAATCTCCCCAATATTAGAATAACTAAATATTTCTGAGACCAAAAAACTTTGATATGAAGAGTTTGCCCAAGCTGTACCACTTATTTATGTTTTGAAAATTCTAAATTCTTCTACACCTCAAACAGTTAACGGTTGCCTTTGAGCATCACAGAGCACACAGTCAGAGGTTTAAAAACAGACCGAGAAAAAAAATTGAAAACAGTCAGTGGTCCAAACAATTCTCATCTGCTGTGAGATTATATGTAGAATTCTCTCAACCATATTACAAAGATTACAGTTTACTGCAAATCTGCTTGAACAAAAATAAATACACTCAGAATGATTTCTGTAATACTGCCACTTTTGCTTTATTACAAATTCACTTATTTCTCTACATATTAACATAAGAAATTAGGAGAAAATAGTAGGGTTACCGAAAAGTGCTACGTACAACCCTTTTTTTTTTCTTAAAGTAAATCGCTGTTCTTTGCAAGGAATGTGTTTGGTTTGTTTTCATATTTTTTTTAAGAAAAATATAAATATATATAGCAAATATTTGTTCCTACGGTCTGAAAAATAAAATAAAATATAAAACTTCACGCCACTATAATACAGTGTGATCATGGAACAGAGCAACTCCATCTTAGCTGCCTTTTATTATCGTTTAAAAAAAAAAAAAATATCTTTTTTTCTGGTATTGAGTTTAGTTAGTGGAAAATGTATAAAAAGTTTCCTGCTTAATTTTAGGCTCTTTTTTTCATGATTTTCCTATTGGCGCGTATTCATTCCCTTATTTGCTCCAAAATATTCCTTGCTAGACTTCTTCAGGGTGAAACATGTTTTAGTGATGTCCCGAACGGTTCGCCGCAGACGGCGAACATATGCGCTGTTCGGTCCGCCCCCTATTCGTCATCGTAGAGTAAACTTTGACCCTGTACCTCACAGTCAGCAGACACATTCCAGCCAATCAGCAGCAGACTCTCCCTCCCAGACCCTCCCACCTCCTGGACAGCTCACTAAGAATGCAGCTTCACAATGAATGTAAAATGGATGCTGTCCAGGATGTGGGAGGATCTGGGAGGGAGGGTCTGCTGTTGATTGGCTGGAATGTGTCTGCTGACTGTGAGGTACAGGGTCAAAGTTTACTCAATGATGACATAGGGGGCGGACCGTACAGCGCATATGTTCGCCATCCGCGGCGAACCGTTCGGCAAACCGTTCAGGACATCACTAATGTTGATTCTTCCGAACTTATTTGGCAGATATTTGTTTTGGGTTTTTATCGGGTGTGCAAAATTTTGTTCAACTTGGCTTGGCCAAATTTCAGTAGCAACAAATTCAGGTTGGCCATTTAAACAGCTGGAACAGCAGCAAAAACAGCTACAATATTGCCTTGACTAATGACTACACAATATCAGCCATTTTTTCAATGAGAATTCTGAGTTGCCAAAATTAGATTATTATACATCAAGATTAAAAAAACTAAATAGGAAGTAAGCGTTTTAGAGTGATTGATTGCAAACTTTTGCTTTTTGCTATCTCATTTTAATGAAAATGGGGAGCAGGAGTCATTCCTAGTTCAAAATAGGGAATGTATGCAAAAAGAAAAGGAAAAGTCAAAATCCCTGCATTGAAAGCCATTGTAAAAAGGCAGAGCAGCAGCAGCAGCAGACGAACTGTCATTTTATTTACATTTTTAGAAACAACTTTGAAGGGAAACCTGAGTGGCTAATTGCATCTCCGGTAGCAAATGATGATGCCTCACGTACCAAAGTGAAGAGCAGTGTAACTCAACTTAGGAACTTCGGATACTATTTGATCCATCACCAGTTGAGGAGAAATTTGTGAGTGTTGGGGATTCAGAATGTTCCCTTCAACAGAAAACACCTGCTCACTTGGAACAATGGTTGGTTATCATGACAATAGTAACAACCAGACAGAGAGCAGGCCACACACTTTTCTTCTCATCTCAGTATCAAAGAAGGTGGTCCTCAGTAGGAAACAAAGCATATTCAGACAGGTAATTTTGAACATTTCAGAGGCACTACTCTCCTTTTGACTGTTTGCTGATTCACTTTCTCCCCCAAACCACTAACAGTATTAATGCAAAACCTATTTGCTTCACTCTTGTGTCTCTGGGTTATGTAGCTGCTGGGAGTAGTAGACATTGACAACATGGTAAGTTCAATGCACACATTTTCCTCAACCAGAATACTTCTCTTTTCTTTCCAATCACAGACTTTATTAACAAGTCTCCCTCTCTGATATGTCATGTTGTTAGATGGGAGTGACCCTTTCCCCTTAATTCTAGGATCACACAGGCAGGGCCAGTGCAAGGATTTCTGGGTACACAGGCGAAGATGATTTTGGAGCCCCCTCCACCAACAGACCGTCTGTGTCTCTTTTTCCTCTTCTCCAGCCCCTCTGTGTCTCTTTCACCCCCAACCCCTTTGTATTTCCACTCACAGGCCCCTCTGTGGATTTGCTCACCAAACAGGCCCATCTGTGTGTCTTTCTCCCCACTCAGATCCCTCTGTGTGCCATGCCACTCTCCCCTCCATGTCCCTTAGTTTTCCTCTCTCCTCTCCTCCATGTCCATTTGTGGTCCTCTCCCCTCCCCGTCCCTTAATTGTCCTCTCCCCTCCATGTCCCTTAGTGTTCCTCTCCCTTCCCTGTCACTTAGTGTTCCTCTCCCCACCCCCGTCTCTTAGTGTTCCTCTCCCCTCCCTCACCTGTCCCTTAGTGTTACTTTCCCCTCCCTCCTCTGTCCCTTAGTGTTCCTCTTCCCTCCCCCTTACTTGTCTCTTAGTGCCCCCCATTCCCCTTAATGTTCCTCCCTTCCCATCTTAGTGTTCCTCTCCCTGCTCTTTTAGTGGTCCCTTAACTACCCCAGTGTTCATTTCCCTTTCCTTCCCTGTACCTTAGAGCCCCTTAGTGTTCATCTCCCCTCCCTCCCCTGTCTCTTAGTGTTCCTCTCCCCTCCCTCACCTGTCCCTTAGTGTTCCTCTCCCCTCCCTCTTACTGGTCTCTTAGTGCCCCCAATGCCCCTTAATGCTCCTTCCCCTATCTTAGTGTTCCTCTCCCTTCTCTTTTAGTGGTCCCCCAACTACCCTAGTGTTCATTTCCCTTCCCTTCCCTCCCCTGTACCTTAGTGCCCTCCCTTTTTTAGGTGTTCTTCCCCCCTCCCCATCCCATAGCATTCTTCCCCCTCCCCTTGTCCTATAGCATTCTTTTCCCCCTCCCCTGTCCCATAGTGTTCTCCCCGCCCAAAGTTTTTCTTCTCCCCCCCCCATAGTTTTCCTCCTCACCTCCATTAGTGTTCCTTCCCCCGATAGTGTTCCTTCACCCCCTCCCATAGTTTTCCTTCTCCCCCCCCACCCCCTTAGTGCCTCTCTATTTCCCCCTTTGCCCCTGGTGTGTAGCGTGGACAAGCGGAGCGGACTGTTGTACAGGAGCTTCAGTTTCCTGTACCCAGCTGGACTGACAGGAAGTGCTCTCTCAGTGAGCACTTCCTTTCAGTCCAGCCGGGTACAGGAAACATAAGTTCCTGTACCATGGTGCGCACTGCTCCACTCGGCCACACTACACAAAGTGCCTGGCAGGAGGAAGCTCTGTGCGCCCACCTCATGGCGGTCACTCCAATCTAGCTCCCCCCGGGCTGGTGCGCTTTAAGGCGGCCGCTTGTGCCGCCTTATGGATGCGTCAACCCTGCACACAGGTATGCTAGCATCAGTTGAAGGCAACTAGCAATTGATTTACTCAGACGAGCATTGAGTAGATCACTGAGCTTTCTGACCATTTCTGCTACATCAGTCTGGAGTGGGCCATCAGGAACTAATTATATGTTTTCCAGGAAGGATTCCATCATGTTTATGCAGAGGATGAGCAAGGGGATGACGTGTCTGAAACTGGCATTAATGTGGCTCAAATTTTCTGACATGTCCCTCAGTGGAATAAAAATTAGTTGCCCTATTATTGTCCAGTCCTCATGCCCTAATGGGGAGTCTGTGCCAATAGAGTGCCCTAAAAGTATTCAAAGAGGAAAAAAAGTATTGGAGAAACCCTTTAAACTTTCTGCCTGACAAATATAGGCTTACCTGTGTTCGGGTGCGATGATTTTAGGCATAGAATCCTTTTTTCTTTTTCTGGAGACAACTGTCAACGGAGACAAGTCTGAAAAATCTGAAACTGCTCTACCTCGTTAAATAGTACATTTGACATGAATTCTCAACCTCAACCAAATTCTAGCCAGTCTAAAACCTATCTAATGAATATACATGGTAAAATATTTATTTCCCTTACTGAGAGACAGTTCTACCTGATAAACTTGTGCTTAATGACAACTAAACAATGCATTTAGCTTTACATTTTATTTCAGTCAGTACTTGTCGAACAGGCTTTCTCCTTCTTCAACATAAAGGCTTTAGTGAATTTCTAACAGGATAATGACTTTAAGGAGATTGAGGCACAGGTAGATTAACAACGCCAGAAATTCCTATGTACTATTTGAGAAAAAAACCATACGTGGAACAAGTTATCCCCTGAATATTATTCCATTCACAGTCTGTCATGAAAAATGTATAGAAAACACGTTTATATGAAATTTCTTTACTGTATATTTTTTAAATTATTTTTTACTGTAAACACCTATTTGCTCTGTAATGCTATTTTATTTTGTTAACCATTAACTTACTGTAATTATTTATATGCATTACAGGAATCTCTAATAGCAAAATGCTGCTATTCATCCGTAGGGTATACCTTGCTTATGCTAGATGTTTGCAGACGTGAACGGTTTAGCAGAGCAGTTTGTGACATCACAAGTCACACAGAGGTCAACTTGCACCCAGTCGCAATTTATAAACTCGGAATCCCTCAATCTCTCTAATTCAATTAGAACTAGTAGCTCTTTGCACAGATCATGGGCTGGATTCTATGACTCTGTATCGCACCTTTAACTGCAAATGGCAAAAATATAGACATTTACACATCTCAGCTGTCACTTTCCTGTAGAGTAGAGTGGGCTTTGATATTGCTAGGAGACAGGCACAGAGTGACGTTGGTGTGTTGGATTGGTTTAAAGTAGCATTGTGGGTGGAGATTACAGGGTATATATAAAGGGGCCATTTTAGGTTAAGGGGACATTTTAACTTACCGTATATACTCGAGTATAAGCCGAGTTTTTCCACACATTTTTTGTGCTGAAAAAGCCCCCCTCGGCTTATACTCGAGTCAAGGTCTGTATTATGGCAACTTACATTGCCATAATACAGACCAGGACCGCCGGGCTCATTATTGTTGGGGGCCGGGAGCAAGCTGTTACTTACCTGTGCAGCAGCTCCGTTCCCTGTGCACAGCTGCTGCACAGGTAACAGCTTGCTCCCGGCTCCCCTCCTGCACAGCCCATGCCACCAGACCACCAGGGACTGAGATAGCCCCCGTCCCTGGTCAGGCAACAAGCAGGGAGAAAAAAAAAAAAAAAGAAACAAATTAATATTAAAATAATAAAATATTAACAATATTAAAATAATAAAATATTAAAATAAAAAATGCCTTCCCCCTACCAGTTTACACACACTGCACAAACACACACTCTGCATCATATACACACACACTATATTCACACAAACACACACTCTGCATTATATACACACACACTGCATTCACACAAACACACACATACACTCTGCATTATATACACACACTGCATTAACACAAACACACTCTGCATTATATACACACTCTGCATTAACACAAACACACTGCATTATATACACGCACTGCATTCACACAAACACACACTCTGCATTATATACACACACTGCATTCATACAAACACACACTCTGCATTATATACAAAACTGCATTCATACAAACACACACTGCATTCATTATATACACACACACACACTGCATTCATTATATACACACACTACACACAAACACACACACACTGCATTCATTATATACACACACTACACCAGGGGCGGACTGAGAACCCTCAGGGCCCCCGGGCAAAATAAATCAAGGGCCCCCTTACAGGCCCCACCCATACTCTGCAGCAAGCGCCACCCTTGTCCCGCCTCCATGCACCGCCTCCAGCCACACCCTACACAATC